TAGCAACCTTGTGAGCTTAGCCAAAGCCCTCCCACTCATCTCCATCATTGATCCATCATCATTGTGAGATTGGGAGAGAATCCAAGTGCATTGCTTGAGTGATTGCATCTAGAGGCACTTGGTACTCGTGTTTCGCTGCGGGATTCACTTATTTCTCTTGGTGGTTGCCGCCATCTAGATGGCTTGGACCAGCGAGGATCGTTGAGCAGAGGTTGGTGATTGTCTCCGGCTCCGATCGTGGTGATTGTGAGGGGTCTTGTGCCTTCCCCGGCGTAGCGCCGAAAGGTAACTCTAGTGGATTGCTCGTGTCATTGAGTTACCTCACTTGTGGGTAGGTTCTTGCGGTGTCCTATTGTGTGGACGAGGTTCATGCAACACCTCTTAGCCGCCGAACTATCAAGTGTTGGTCGACACAACGGGGACTAGCGTGCTGGCAAGCACATGAACCTTAGGAGAAAAATTGGTTGTCTCTTGCGTTTTGGTATTCTCCTGGTGATTGATTTAGTGTTCATCTTGTGATTGGTTCACTCCTCTACACGGAGGTATAATCACCCTACTCACTCATTTATATTCTTGCAAATTAGTTGTAGCAAGCTCTTTAGTGTAATTAGAATTGAGAGCTTGCTTTATTGTTTTAAGTTCGTCTAGTGGAGCTCTTTAGTGTAGCAAGTGTGAGAGCTCTTAGGGAGTAGTGACAACAAATTGTGTCTAGAGATCATAGCAACTAGAATTGTTGGATAGATGGCTTACAACCCCTTGTAGAGCTAGAGCAAGTTTGCATTTAGCTATTTGTTATACTAATCAAATTGCTCTAGTTGATTTGTAGATTTTTAAATAGGCTATTCACCCCCCCCTCTAGCCATATTAGGACCTTTCAGCTGGACAAGAGATAGACATAGGATTTATCACCGATGTTCGGTTGCTTGCTAATAACCTTCGTCGTCCTCGTTGTGGTGAGTCTCAAGGTGATGAGTGATCCGCGCGCTAACAAGCTGCTCAAGCTTGACCCATAACTTGGGTGCTACAAGAACCAAACACAACTAGCACAAGAGCTCCTTACAATCACCGATTGGAGGCAAGAAACAATCACCACAAGACCCTCAACGATCACCGTTTGTCCAAGCTATCTAGGTGGTGGCAACCACCAAGAGTAACAAGAAATTTGCAGCCCAAATGATGAATTAGTGTCATTAGATGCAACTCAACTTAGTAAATGCACTAGATCTCTCCCAATCTCACTTTAAATCAAGCAAGTAGCAAGGAGATGGGTGGGAGGTGTTCTTGAGAGCTCACACAAGTGTTGGATCAGTTAGAATACCAAGAGAGACCCCAAAGGGCCAGCCAAAACTTTATAGAGCTCCCAAAAGCTAACCGTTGGACTGGCTGAAAACATTTTCTACGTATCGGCTCGAAAGTCCAGTGGAGATGGGAGAAGCACCACTGGAGTATGCACCACACATATCAACGGTTTAGATTAAATCTAAAATTTAAACATCCAAGCGCATTCTTCGATGCTCACTTAAATGCCACCACCCGAGAAATCTGGTCCCTGCGCACTCACTCGGCCAAGTCAAACTAACGACTGAGAAATCCAATGGCTATATTCATTTCCCCAGTGACCTTCCAGTGGAGGACACTGAATACACTAGATGATACCCAGGATTTTGTAGCATTGTAAATGATGACGGTGAGAGAAATATTCCTTTCTTTCTTCATGGTTGTAGCTCGATATGTTCTAATGGATAGTAACGATACATCTTGAGTAAAGCCTAACAAAACGTGGCGTTTAAAACGCCTATCAATCAAATACATGCCTTGATAGAGAAAATACATGTATCTGGTAATATGACAAAAGATGAAAGCATCTAACTACTCATGTGTAACCTGTAAAAACACATTATGTAGTTCCTTAGGTCCTGTGTTGGTCTCAAAAAGACCGCAATTATAGTTTAGATTTTGTAAAAAAAAAAGCACACATAAATAGACAGAAGACATAGGGTATCAGTTGTGGGACCCATCTGAAGAAAACCACCGCACGTCATTATTATAAAAAAATATCTTCCATCTGAGATAAAAACAAAAGATATCTTCCATCTCACATTAAAAAAAATGCCGCCCTATATCAAAAAAAAATCAGCCACAACATTATTAAAAAAATAAAAAAATCAGCCACGATATTACCTCGCGCTGTCGTCAGGCGTGATCGCGTGGACGCGCGGATGACCTCTCATCCGCCCATTCATCTTCCTTTTGCAGCACGGAACTGTTTCCGCATCGGACCTCCGCTCAGATCCGCTTCCTCCGTTTTCTTCCCCTTCCGGATGTGACCCTCATCGCAGGCATGGCGGCAGCATGTGCTCGACGGCACTGATCAAGATTCCTCCTTCGAGCTCAGGCCTCAGTCGAACAGCTGCCCGGGGCTGGGACCGGGGCTCTACCGCCAGCAAGGTTGCGGACGGGGCGAGCGAGTCGGACGAAGCTCCGCAGGCATCACGCAGGCGAACGGGCCTGACAACGCAGCGACGCCGAGCGGGGCGAAACCCAGCAGAGGTCCATCTTTGGTGATCCTATGCAGGAGCCTCGCCATGGCCGAGGTAGGGCGCGGTATCCCGCCACTGGGGACGTCGCGACGGCTGAGCTGGAACGGAGGCGGCGTGATGCGGTGCGGCACTACCGAGCGCCGAGCGGGGCAGGACATGGCCGAGGCGGAGTAGACTGCCGGTGACTGGACTGAGGCGTGAGTAGATTTGCAGCTAAACTGTTTCCGTGGCGATGACCACTGTGTTTTGCGGTGAGGATTGACAGTGGAACGGAGGAACGGCGAGCCCAAAGAAGAGGAATGACGTGGCTTAGGGCCTGTTCGGTTCAGGCAAAACCACGTCAGAATCATGATCTAGTGGAACGGAGGAATTAAATAGCGATTCGAGCTCTTCCCATCACTCCGATGAAACGAACGCATTGGAGGACTCAAGAAAATAGGCTAATGGGGTTCTCCTGTCTGGAGATAGGAGATAGGAGATAACAAATTCCCAATGCCCCCCAGAACCGCTCGGTGTAGCCACTCAAGAGCTCCAGGCCATCACTCCGGTGATGAGCATTGGAACTCCGGTGCTACTGTAAGTTTACTCCGGCACTATAAGTAATTAAAGATTATACATTTTTTTACATTTTGAATCTTCATATATATGTGAGGACTAGTATATAGCTACAACAATACATGATTCTCTTTTCAAAATTGCCACAATGCGGCACACGAGGTGGTGTCGGATGCAATAGCAAGGAATTATCACCGCATGGGAGTATGGGCCAAATCCGCGTATCAGGCCCAATTCCAGGGTTGCCTTCAGAGGGAGCCGCCCAAGCCCAAGTCACCCAACGCGGCAAGTTTCGAGTCTCAGCCACGGTAGAAAAATGTGATATCTATGACCCTGAATCCACCTTATGTTCTGGTTGAGTAATAAACATTGCCCTTAGAAAGGCAGCCAAATGCAGGATCCAGTGCAAGGCTAATTTGGCCAACAAAGGGCTATTGTCAGATGCAACTTGTGACCTGTGCAAGTGCCGTGATGAAGACGCAGATCACATCGTGTCAGGATGTTCCTTTGCTCGCTCATTTTGGAGAAGGATTGGATGGCAGCCAAATGCAGTGCAAAACTCTTTGGGAATCCAGGATGCCAGACCGAGTGCCCAAGGAAGCGGCCTCGAGCTTTCTTCTCTTGTGCTGTTGGGAGCTGTGGAAGCACCGCCATGACGTGGTCTTAAGAGGAATGACGCCGAATGTAGACAGGTTGGTGGCCACCTGCAAAGCCACCGCTGCTCTGTGGCAATGCGATTTTTTTTTATTTTTAACATTTTTTATAAACTAATTTTAAATCTAACTCTGTTTTTTTTTTTAAAACTAACACTTTTGGCCGCGCCTATTGCCATGGCGCGGCGAAACGACTGTGCCGCGCCACCGAGAGGGATGACGTGGCGACGACCAGAACGCTGACCGGTGACGTGGCAGGGTCTGTCGCGTCACCGATTGGCAATAGGCGTGGCCAAAAGTGTTAGTTTTTAGAAAAAAAATTAAACAGTGATTAGATTTAAAATTAGTTTACAAAAATGTTAAAAATAAAAAAAATTAGCAATGCCGACTACCTAGAAGGTCCCCCGCCTCGTCTAGTAGAGATCCATTAGTCTCATGTAACTGTGATGTATTGCTCTCCTACCCCGCTTATCTATTTGTAACTGTGGCGCCAAGCCAAACCCTCAGGGCTATTGCCTTTCCACGGTTCCACCCACCAGGTGTTCCTGGGATTTGTGATAATCAAATCAGGTGGGGACAAATCGTCCCCCGTTGCATTTGAAAAAAAACATTGCCCTTACCCTGACATTTAAATCTATATTGCACATTTTCACTAAATTTGCAACACTTGCATGCAGCCTATCTTATAACATATACTTCCTCCATCCATAAAAGGAATGCAATTCTCGCTTTTCGAGAAGTCTAGCGGTTTCAATTTTGATTGAAGTTATATAAAAAAATATTAACATTCTTGGTACAAAATAAATATCATTAGATAAGTTATATAATATATTTTTTATATTAAATTTATTTAAAGACATAAATGCTAATACTATTTATAATAAACTTGGGCTACGTTCGGCTACCGGTTTTCACTGTCCCGGATAAAAAAACATTGTTCACGCTCTCACAAATTCCTTCAAATTCATCCAAATTCCTCCAGATTTATACAGATTCCTCCAAACGAACATGCCATTGGTCCAATTTTAGCTAACTTGACCGACACGAATGCCATAAATGCATTCTTTCGTGAACGGAGGAAGTATAATTACTGGAGCAGTAGTAATGTTCAGGACCTCATGCAGTTCTACTTCATCGATCAGAACTCAGAAGGTGTTGCCATTGGCAAAAGAGATTTTCACTTTTTTTTTTAAAAAAAAAGAGATTTTCACTTTTTCAGTACAGTATTATCCGGCTAGATTAGAAGTTCACATCACAGCCTCTGGTCACCGACGGAGACCTCCTGAACCACGATGGGCGGCCCCTGCGGGATCCCCAAGAATCCGGGGGCCGCGGGCGCGGGCGCGGGCGTGGGCGCATGCAGAGGCTGGGCTGGTTGATGCCGCGGCGTCTCCAGCGGCGGGATGCGACCATCCACGAAGTCGAGGGCCGCGCCAAACGCGACAAGGGCCGCGCCCCGGCGCGCACCGAGGGCTGCCCAGGAGACGGCGCCGGCGGCGATGCTGTTCCAGAGGTCCTCCTTGGGGCGCGCGAGGGACATGGCGGTCTCCAAGGCGGAGTACAGGGCGAAGTAGGCGGCCAGCGAGGCCGCCGCCGCGGCGGCGGCGGAGGCCCCCGCGGAACAAGCTGAAAATGGAGCTGCCCGTCCCTAATTGTTATATACGGGCTGCGGCCGGTTGGTGTTCGGAATTCACCTCGCCTCGGGTGACAAGCAATTCCTATCCGAACAGGTTTCCCACATGGTACCCGAATTAACAAATTATCCAGTCATGTTACGAAAACAGGAAAAAAAAATAACGTCAGATCAGTCGTGTTCGAGTCGGAGCCAACAGCCAAATAACTGTGTGCAAATTTAGAGTTCTATCTCACGTTTAGGGTTCTTATTCAGGGGCTAAGGTTTAGTCCGTTGGATGTTCGCATGCTAATCAGAGAATTAAATATTAGTTAATTATAAAACTAATTGTTTAGAAATAGACTAATTAGCGAGATAAATCTATTAAATCTAATTAACCCATGATTACCACATATTTACTGTAGCACCATATTGTCAAATCATGAATTAATTAGGTTTAATATATTCGTCTCACAAATTAGCCTCAATCTGTGTAATTAGTTTTATACTTAGCCTATGCCTAATACTCTTATTTAATGTTCAAACATATGATGTGACATAGTTTAGTCCATGGAACCAAACACACTCTTAATTGCCTCTGATTCATCACCAGACACCAGGAATTGTATTCAGTAGTTCACCGTTCACCACTTCATATACCAAAACATGGAACGAAGTCATCACGGAGCTTTGCACTCGACACAGGACAGTATGCTACTATAAGCAAAAGCTCGTGAATTTATACTACTCAATTTAGAATCCTATCAGGGGCCTTTTGGATCCTTCGTTTTAAAGGAATTGAAATCTATATAATAGATTAGGTTATTTGGCTTGTAATTTGATATTCCATAACATTTCTAAACTCACAAATAAGCCTATCTCAAATTCATAGGACGGGAGATGAAAATAGATTCTATATATCACTATGCTATAAGTTTATTCTTCAACTTAAAGCACACTCTTCAACTCACTTCCATACAATAGAAATGCAACATATAAGTATATCCCTTGTATGTCTAACAATAAATATACAAATATATTCCATATACAACTATATTAGCTTAATTAAGCTATGTCTAAATTGTAATTATTAGAATGAATTTAATTTCAAGGATCCAAACGGCCCCTCAGTAGAACTGAGTCCTGGAGCTCTAAGGTAAAGCTTTATTTTGCCCTATAATTCTACTGTCGTCAGGCCTTAGGAGTCATTTCAAACTTCTGACGCCCCTCCCTACAAGTAGTAGGATAATCTGACCTACACAACAGGAAAACATGGAGTTCATTAGCGTATATGATACTATTAGGACAATGGCATTGCATTTTATATAAAATTATAGCATAACAAACAAAGAATATTACAGTGTACTAGAATGAATGAACAAGTACAGCAGTATATGCAGAGGATATAGCCCTTTCCTCTCACCATTTCTCAAAGAAAACTCAGTTCAGACAGGCGTCACACCTTAAAAACTACCTACACTTGCACATTGCAACTTTGCTTTCTTAAAGGCAGCCAATTGATTTACAGCAAAAGCATAGGTAAGGGCATTTTGTAGCCATATTATCAATATAAAGTGTTGTATTTTCTTGGAAACTTGTTGAAAATATTTAGTAATATTCAGAATTCAGATAACGAAATTCTAGTTGGCAGACAGATATAAACTGAATGGGGGCAATACCATCCCTGATCAAAGCACACTCAAGAGAGCTGCAGAGTTCATCCCGGATTACACTGCACCACACACACCAAAAACAATGACAACATAACTGTTACAGAAAATATAAAATTTGAAGTGAACAGTAGTTCTGAAAATGAAAGCTGTTTGCAGCTTTCCTAAAAAGTCACTATTTGGAGCAAGTGTTCACCTAAACAGCCATTTAGCTTTTTTAAACGCCGCTTAAACGCTAAACGGTGGCCAGCCATTCTGCTTAATCAGCCATTCTGCTGGTATAGCTAAACCAAGGGACCAACTATTTAGTGCTTTGGTGGACTGGCAATTCTATAAGTGCGCCAGGTCGAGCAAGGAAGAACAGAAGAGAAACCTTATTAAACTCGTCCTGGAAGCAGATTAAGTCCCTGAAACTCCAGTAGATACTAAGATATTCAGATATCATCTGCACATCATGCTACTACTAATATCAACTGAACAAGGAGGCAATTTAGAAACAACAAATAGCATCGAAGCACACTTTGAAACCCTCTGGAATATATATTGTATGCCTAACAACGGTATACTGTTGAATGGGATTAATGATACTTACAAAAAGAAAACAGAAAAGCTAAAACAACAGCATCACTAGACCTAGTAGTTGAAGTCATATAAATGTCTATTCCTGTCAGGTTATTCAAAAATGGTGTACCTATCATGCAACCCCTGTTTTCTCTAATGGAACATATACTTCAACTACTTCCAGTTTTTTACTATTTCGCAATATAAGTACCTAAAACAGGAGCTCAACATCCATGCATCATGAAGCCAGATGTAAAACACTGGAAGAATTCAATGCAGGTGCTTTCTCCACACAGAACTAACATAAAAATCCATACGTGTTTAAGTAGTCCACATGCATATTAGAAAAAACTCTCTTCAGGCGAAAGTGCACAACATAAAGAAAGTAATCTCACAAAAGGTAAAGCCATACTCTATATTCAAGCAAGTTTATACTTTACATATGACTGAAACTGACAGCAAGTGGCAAAAGTTTGCCAGGCATGTGAAACTATAGAAGGTATATAGATCCTGTGTTGCCACTACTTCTTTTCCATTTCCCCTCTTTCTAATCTCTTTCCTAGCATATATCCTCGGGCCAACCTTCTAGTGGGGTAAACCTTTGAAGTTCACAAATCATAATGGTCACAAAACCAATAACCATACTAGTGATATCAGTAGCAGAAACAGAGATACAAGGATGATTGGCTCGCGCTAGTTGAACAATCTGCTAGACAATGACTAGGGTTCAGGACGATTACACAAAAACCATACCAATGGGGTTAATTGTTTAAGCAGCAGCATCAAACAGCGATGACCAGGGAAAGATAGAGCATGACCCAATAGATAAAATGGAGTACAGTTATTATCACGTTGCAGGATTCTGCCTCTGCTTAACATACATTGTGCCAACAAGTTAAATGCAGAAGAGGAAACCCCACATCGTGTAGCCAAAAATTCCCTGCTAATATGCTGTGCACTACTGCACCGTATGCATCAACATGCCCTAGGCAACAACTGCGTAGCATACACATATAGCACTGGAACAACAGTGGGCAGTAATTACAGCACAAACCACAAATCAGTTAATTGTATGAGCTTGGTGTAAATTTTCTCAAGAATTGCAACAAAACTGACACATGGGAAGGAGGAATCAAAACACTTTGCATGTTTCACTCTGGATCGCTGTGTGGAGAAAATGTATATGGTTAGGTATCATAAATCCATGAGATTGAAGAAGTAACTCAAAAGTCAAAACTACCGAGTACTACATTTCCACAGAGTACATGCATAAGAACAATAATGGCCACATTCACATTCAAAAAATCAAATCAAATCAACAACAATTGAAGGAATCACCAGCAAACAAAATAGAACACACAAAAGCTAACCTTTTTTTTCACATGTAGTCGAAGGAGGGAACGGCCGTCCTTGACAAGTCCATCTCCAACACCTCCGACTTCTTGCGATCGCCAACAGCAACCATGTCCTGCTGCTTCTTCCCGAACAAACCGCCAAACCACCCAGTCGGGCCGCCAGACTCAGTGACCGGGACCTCCTGGACATCGATCGGCGGCGCCGGCGGCACTCCCAGGAAACCAGGTGGTGGTGCATACTGGCCGGGATCCTGTCCGGGATACTGCAGCAGGTCGTCCGGCGGCGGCGGCGGGACGACCCCAATGCGGTTGAGCATGATCCCGGCACCCTCGATGAGAGCGAGGAGGGCGCCGCCAAAGAGTGCGGACCTGCCGGAGGCGAGGAGGCCCTGTCGCACGGCGAGCAGGCCACCCGTGGCGGCGCCGGCGGCGATGGAGTTCCAGGGGTCCTCCTTGGCGCGGGCGTAGACGAGGGCGCAGTCGAAGGTGGAGAAGAGGCCGCCCCAGACGGCGAAGCTGCCGCCGAGGCGAGGCGCGAGCATGCGCGCGGATGTGGCGCCCCCGGCGAGGCGGTGGCCGTTGGGGGAGTTGTAGAGGCCCTTGACGAAGTGGAAGAGGGAGCCGCCTACGGCGCCCATTCCGAAAGCGCCGCCGACGTCGTCGAGGATGCGGTCCGGGCAGGGCTCCCGCCCCGTCTCTGGCGTGGTCATCTCCTCGCCTAGGCGGCGGCCTCCAGCGGCGGGGGAAACCCTAGGCGTGCTTGGACGGAGGGAATGGCAAGCCGGCGATGGGAAGGCACGGGCGGCCGAGCGGGCGGCGCGGCGCGGAGAGAGCCAAGTGAAGTAGGAACGGGAGTACGTGCCTACGTGGCGTCTAGTAGCGTTCGACTTCGAGGCTTTGGGCTGGGCCCCACCATGTCCTTCTGGATTTTGCACGGGTGCGCTTTGGGTCGACTGTCGAGCACGGTTGACAAAAAAAAAAGCAGTATTGTTTAAAAAAAAAGTAATCCTCCAAAATTCCATCGGGATAGCGGATGTTTTATTCAACATAGGGTTTGAGATAAAAAAAAACATATAGACTTAAATAAATTGTTGGGATCCTCTCAAAAGAAATAAATTGTTCGGAAACATGTATTTGCTTGAAAGCCCCGTGAGAATTCTATTTACCATTTATTTTGTTATAATATTTTTTTTCAAAGGCTATGGCTCTAATTTGTTATTTTAAATGATTCAGGAACAGAAGAAAAAATTCTTGTGTTTCAAACGGGACATAAGTGTATAAATCAATATTTCTGTATTTTAAATTAATTATAACATGTTTTGTCTTTTCTAGATGCAATAGC